GTTTCCACCACAAGTAAAGGAAGGAAGCAGGGAAGGAAGGCCTCCCTAAGCCCTGTGTTGATTTAACGCACTCCTCCTAGGAACACAAATAAACCTCCCTCTCCCTCTCCCTGTCCCTGTCTCTCTTTTCCCCTCTCTCTAGTCCTTGCTGACATAAACCACATGGCCTTGCCTCCCCTGCCTCCCAACATCAGTCTAAGTGATGACTGTCTTATCGGTGACAGGCTCAGAGCCCCCTCTGCAGTGCCCAGGTCCTTAGTCCTCAGCCATGGCCTCTGGGGACACGTGGGAAGTGTCAGCCCCAGACCCTAGCCAGCCCCTCCCAGAGAGATGCATGAGACTTTGATGCTCTGGGAATCTGGGGCGGTGACGATGGGGGAGGGAGGAATGGGAGGAAGGAGAGTAGCCGCAGCTAGGAAACAGAAGTGTTTCTGGAAAACACAGATGTGAGTAGTCTGCATGCGCACAGCAGAGTCCCCTGGAGCAGAGGCAGGCGGCTCCCATTTAAATCCCACCGGGAAACATCTGGCCACTCTGGCCCACCAACATATGCAGGGCAGGTCAGCCACAGGAAAGATGCCCGCTGTGTGCTGGGAAGCAAGGGACTCATTTCACAGAACTGCAGGGCTTGGACTGTTTGGTTTGAAACCACAACCAGTCAGCCCCGCTTATAGAAAACCAGTGGGCACAGGAATTGTAATGGCAACAAATACTGCTGGCATTGGATCAGCCAGGCACCAAGAACACCAAAAACCCAACTCACAGCTATCGAGTCGATTCCGACTCCTAGCGACCTGAAAGGGCAGAGTAGAACTGCCCCAGAGGGTTCCCAGACTGCCACCTCTCTCTCCTGTGGAGAGCTTGAGCCACTGCGCACCCAGGTTCTTATAGAAGTGCTTCAGGACTCTTATACTGCCCCTGCAGAGCAGGAAGCCCATTCCCCTGGGCAGTGGAGGCACACTCCAAAGGTCACAAAGGTCACTGACCAATGTTAGTTGCATCCAGGAGCAAGCAGAAGTCCTCTGGAGACACAGTGACCCTGAGGTGGCGCCAAGGCCCTTGGTGACAGAGACATCTGTTAACCACGAGTGGGTTGAAAATTCAGCGTATGCAAAGAATTTCACTTTAGGTAATTCCCCGTGCTCCTGCGAGATCATTCTAAAACTTGGGAATTTGCTGAGTACTCAGTTCTAAGGACGGCACAGGACCGGGCAGGGTTTCCTTCTGCTAGGACTCCGAACAACAGTGACGACAAAGTGCTTTTATTATCTTAAAACCTGAGTGAGAGTTTACACACATGATGGGGCAGGCTGGGCACAGAGACCACCTAGTCACCTGATCTTAGAATAGGGCGTGATTTCCATCCACCTTATTAGGACAGTGGTGGTAAGTAGCTGTCAATTCAATTCCACCATATGGTGACCCTGTGTGTGCACAGGGTTTTCAAGCTGTGACATTTCAGAAGCAGATCACCAGGCCTGTCTCCCAAGGGGCCTCTGTACCGCCAACCCCTCTCTTTACTCATACATAGTCTCATGTGTAACTGATAATGCTGCCCAGGGGCCACATGTTGGGACAAGCTAGTGGTCATTCCCCGCTTTCCTGCCCGTGCCTGTCTCAAGCCAGTCCCTGATGGTTTTCCCTGAATCACTGAGGTCTCTGTGCACATGTGGGCTCACTGCTCTGAGCTTCCACTGTTTCCAACCCTCTGTCCCCTCCTAATAGGACAGAGGGACTTTGCCCCTGTGGCCCCGAGGAATGGATTGTGGTGTGGGTGGGTAAATGCTGGCCTTCCTGGTGCCCAAGGAGGTCTGGAGGCTCAGTGACTAAAGCACCTGGCTGCTAACGGAGAGGTTGGTGGTTCAAACCCACCACCTGCTCCAGAGGAGAAAGACCTGGCACTCCACTCCTGAAAAGATGACAGCCTAGAAAATCCTACAGGGCAGCTCTTCTCTGTCCTACAGGACTGCTGTCCTCTAGTCTACAGGGGCCAGCGAGCAGGAAGCCACGGCAGCAGGTACAACACCTGCCCCACACTGATGACAGGGCTTTTGCCATCCACACGGCCGAGGAGACAGGCCGCCAAACAGGACCTCAGAGCTACTATGTCTCTGAGCAGAACACTGTCTCAGCCAGCAGCCCACCACGCCAGGTACAAAGGTGCTCACGGTGCTTGACCAGGTAGGAGGAAGAAGCAGTAAACAGGGCAAGAAGACGTCCAAAACAGCAATAAAAATCAATGACAAGAAGGTCTGCTTTTTGTCATCACAAGCCAGTGACTCTCCACAAAGGCAGTGACAAGAGGCCCCCTAACCCCTCACCCAGGGATTGCTCCCACTGCCCATCCCACCCTTTCCTGTGTGCACAGGGCAAATGAACTACCTCCCACGTGTAAGACCACATTCATAACAACAGCGGGGAGGAGCAGAGTTAATCACTCTACTAAGCACCTTCTATGTGGCCAGCAGTGGACTGAGTACCACATACACACACATAGTCATACACACATACATACCCACTCATATACTCACACAGCCATACACACACAGTCATACACTCATACACACTCAGACATACACACATACGTACCCACTCATACACTCACATGCACACTCACACAGCCATAAACACAGTCATGTACTCACTCATACATGCATACACACACATACACTCCCCAGTCATACACACTCACAAATACATTCATACACCATACATACACAAATTCAGTCATACATACACACATACAGTCATACACATACATACACTCAATACATACATACAAACTCAGTCATACACACACTCACACCCATATATACTCATACACCTATACACATATACAAACATACACTCATACACACACTAACTTATACACTTACTAACATACAATCACTTATACTCACTCCTACACATACACACTCACATACACACACACCACACATGCACATTCACACTAATACTCACACGCATACACACACACTCATACACCTACATAGTCACATATACACTCATACACGCACACTCCATACACACATACATACTCACATATACACTAACTCACACACTTATACGTTCACACACACACACACTCATACATACCACTCATATACAAACACACACATACATACTCAGACACATATACAAACACACACATATAATCAATCACACACTTGTATACATACTCACTTATTTACAAACACACACATATATACACAGATACATATTCATACTCACATATACACACAGTCACTCATTTACACTCACATATGCACACACACACACACTCACACCTTCACTTAGCTCTGTAAGGGAGGCATTATTACCCCCATTCTTCAGATAAGAAAACTGAGGTTACACGAGGAGATGGACTTTGCCTATAATTTCACAGGGGCCACGATGCTGCATAACACTCAGTGCTGTGTGACTCCCAATCCTGAGAGGCCGAGTGCTCAGCACAGCACTTGTCTTCACCCATGGAAGGTGCCGGGAGGGTGCCCCAGTGGACTCAGAACTAGAGGAAACGCTCACCCACATGGGTCAGGAAGGCCACGGCCCCTTCGAGCCTGAAGCCAAGTAACCTTGAGGACGAGCTGCCTCTGGCCAGCAAACCTCCTCATCCCATCTAGACAACATTCACGAAGTTCATCTTCTTGTGTAAAACAATCAAGTCTCACGGAAAACTGAGCAAAAAGTTGCACAGGAGCAGAAATCCATTTCAGAATCATTGGGGACTCATGGAAAACCAATTAACTCTATAAACTTTCACCCAAACTGCAATTTAAAACAAATTTTGTAAAAAGAATTTTTTGGTACTTGACAAAATAACTTGTCACGGTGCATACAGTGATGTCATCACATTCTTCTCACCAGTTGAACAAGCGCCACACACACCCACAGTGAGGCATGTGGCATTCAGCCCGAGGGGCCAGAGCTCAGGCCTGCGGTCTTCTCCCAGGCACCTAGACTCCTCTGCAGACCCTGGAGGAGCCACCTTGCACAGTTACCTGTATTCTCACCTGTGTAGGCTCCCTTAATCACCCTCATAACTTTATCACCTCCAAAACCAAAAAACCCAAACCCATGGCCAATCAGTCCATTTCAATGCATGAGACCCTAGAGAACTGCCTCCCCGCCCCCGCCCCCCCGAGGCTTTGAGACTTGTCTTTGAGACTATTGCTCTTGACAGGAGCAGCCAGCCACATCATTCTCCCGTGGAGCGGCTGGTGGGTTTGAACTGCTGACTTTTAGGTTAAAGTCAAGTGCTTAACCACTGTGCCACCAGGCTCCTTTTCCCCATGCTGTTTCAGGCAATGAGGGGAGCTGTCAGGAGTCTGTCACCCCACAGTAAACCTGGTGTGCCCGTGTCTCTACTAACCACGGGCTAACTGCCAAAGAGCGGTACAAAGATCTGATTGACTCAAAGGAGAAACCGGGCCCTAAAGATGACAAGAATAGCCTGGAGTCAGTGAGGGTGCTGCCAATTGAGAGACTGAAGGTTCAAGTCCACCCAGAGGCACCTTAGGAAGACTATAATACAGCAGTCACCAGATCATGAGCAAGTCCATTCCGGAAATCCATTTCTACCCATGTCTTTAAGGAACTGCAGGTAAGTCGGGTCAGAGTCGGGATGGTTCTCACTGAGCCTGATTTAGTGTAAGAAATGGCTCGAGACCTTTTCCCTGGTCTCAAAGGTGCACATACAGCAAGGGGACATGATGGGGATGGGGAATTTGGTGCAAGGAGGGGCTGGTTCCATCGTTGCATAGTTAGGGAAGATTCACATTAACATGAAAGGGTAGGTACGAGCTGGCCCTAAAGCTGACGTTCATTACCAAGAACTTGTTAGCCGTAACCCAGAAACACCTGCAGCATCCTGGAGCCGGACCAGCTACAGGTGTGCCCTTGCATCTTCCCACAACCAGGGTGACAAATACGGAGTCCAGAGAAAACCTTCAGATTATCAGGAGAGCAAACACCCCTCAAACACTTCCCCAACACCTCACCTGCTGTAACAGTGTCCACATCCCTGGCGGCCAGCTCTTCCACATCTGACCTTTTCCGCAGTTCAAACCTCCGGGACAGGCCCTCGCGGGGCTTCCAGAGCTCCTGGATCAGGAGGGGCTTCTCGTTGTCTCCAAATACCCGGAAGCACTCGGCCTGCCACCTCTGCCCAGCACTGCCGGACCGGCCCACAGCATCACATAGCACATACTGGCCAGCCCCCTCAGGGCTCAGGGCATAGCGTTCGAGTGCCTCCCTCACCAGCTCCTGGGCGCTGGAGGAGGCTGTGGCCAAAACGCTCTTGTAGTGGGTACCCAAGCAGATGCTGTCCCCAAACACCTTCAGGACGCCCGGGGCAGACAGTTGGGTGGAAAGCTCAGCGGGGTCGTCACTGGCACCTGGGCTGCAGAGCGGGGGCTCCAGGTCACGGTACTTGTAGCTCAGTGTCCGCGACAGCATGCTGGACAGCAGCTGGCTCTGCCGCTTCAGCTTGCTCTTGGTGGGGGGAGACATGATAAAGTGTGCCCCATAGAACATGGTGGGGACGTCTTCATGGGCGAGGGCTGGGGGCGTCTGTTGAAGCGGGAAAAAGCCAGGTCCTGGGAGAAAAAGGAAGCCAGGTGAGACTCAGCCACCATAACGGGTCACATCCACACAGAGCCCCAGCAGGTACTGGGGGACTCTGTCAGTCATTGAAGGCTCGAGGCCCCCACAGGACCTGCAGTATGCCACCCTGGGCCAGACAGCAGTGGACTACACTACCATGAGAGGACGGCAGGACCTTGTGGTCAGAGACACTTCAAGGAACCCCAAGATTAGAAGCACCTGGATCACCAGAGGCAGGAGGCGCCAGGCCGTGGAGCTCGGGGCACATGCTACCCACAGCGGCACCCAAGCTTGAGCAGGGGTGTCACACCTAAAGCAAAGTTATGACCCTCTCAGAGCGAAGCAGACGCAAACTCTCCAGGCCAGCTTCTCGACACCACCTTCTTTTTTTTATTTATTTTTATTTTTTTAAAGCTTTTATTGTGAATTACATGATAGTTTACATAGCAGAACATTGGTTTTACATTCAACTAATGTATTTCTTTTTCATTGCAATGATTACAATCTCCTCCATGCACCATCAGTTAATGGTATTTGCCTCTCTATTCCTTCTGTCTTAAAACAATTCCATTAATTTTTAATTCCAGTTTCCACAAACTTTTTAAAGCCCCCCTCATGTATATTTTTAAACCCAGAGCATCATAAGAATAGCAATTTCCAAATGAAAACAATATAATGTTGCCAAGATCGACACCACCTTCTTGATGTGGACGTTTGGCACAAGCACAAGTGACCCCACCTTAGAGTGACCGTCCACCCTCAGAGTACAGAACAACCAGACCCCAGACTGCTAGTCCTCAGTCTGGCCTGAGGGGGTGCTGTCTGGGACAGCTGCAGGGAAATAAGGGACAACTGCAGTGGACACAAAGGGCCACCCAGAGCCAGAAGCATGCATGGAATGTGTGCATTCCACCCACTATGGGGCCTATGACAGGGCCACCCTGGCCAGTTCGCTTGAGAAATGAGAAGGCCACCCAGGGGAGCTGCAGTGTGACACTAGAAGGGGGCTGCAAAAAGTTCATGGATAAATGTCACTTTTCCATCAACTTTTTGAAGCCTCCTTGGACAATCACAACTCCCGTGCACTCAGCGCTCCAAGAAGTTGAGACATATTCCCAGGTGCCCTCACACATTCGTGGAAGTCAAGAGCACAGAAGAGGAAGAAGTAATTCGACCTTAGAAAGGCTGAGAACTGCCTCCTAGATAAAGCAGCCAGAAAGCAGCCTACTTTCTAGAAGGTTCTGGAAACAATGACCTAGGTGCCCTGGGAAAGCAGCTTTGGGCACCTGCGACTACAGTGGATGCCAGGCTAGACTCACAGCTCTCCAGGCAACAGATGGCTACGGGGTGATGACTAGGACAGGGGAAAGTAACCAGGGAGCCCCCAAAAGAAGGGGAGTCACACAGAGCCTTAGGAGACCAACAGGGAGTGTCACAAAGCTGTCACTACCACCCACGCGCTTTTTCTGAGCTGGCCACCAGGGCCCCTGTTCAGTTCTCTGAGACACCCTGCTCCCTCACTCAAGAATCAGCACCACATGTGCTCAAAGAACCCTGAATTCATCGCAGCCCACACCAAAGTTGACGTTCTGAACACTAACATCTGCCCCTTGAGGGGAGGTTGTGGGGAGCTGTGGACACATGGTGGTGCAGTGGCTAAGTGCTTGGTGGCTAGCTGAACAGTTGGCAGTTCAAACACACCCAGTGGCACTCCATGAGAGAAAGATGAGGCCATCTGCTGCTATAAAGATTTACAGTCATGGAAACCCTAATGGGTCAGTTCTACCCTGTCCTGTAGGGTCACTAAGAGTCGGAACCGAATTGAGTTTGGATTTTGGTTTGCTTTCACTTTAAAAAGCCTGGATGCACAGTGGTTACGCCCTCAGCTGCTAACCAAAAAGTTGGTGATTCAAACCCACCAGCCACTCCTCGGGAGTTAGACGTGGCAGCCGGCTTCCGTAAGATCACAGCCTTGGAAACCCTATGGAGTAGTTTTGCTCTGCCTTACAGGGTCGCTGTGAGCCAGGATCGACTTGGCTGCAGCCGGTTTGATTTGGGTTTGGACCGTTTACATGTGCCTTGCCTCTGCCCAGGTACGGGTAGGCTTTCTGAAGACTGGACTTGCTGGAAATGGTTAAGAGTCCCCAATATTCCAGGCCTGGCCATAAGCAGAATGAACATAAGAGGTTTTCTCTGGAGTCAGTAAAAACAAGACCTGCATCTCCTCACCTGAGGTGTGTGACAGGTGTCCCTGAGAAGCCTGACTGCTGGCTCTAGCTCACCTCACAAACCTGGGAAAGGCCTGGAGTTACCTAACAAGAGCATCGCCACACAGCGCTCACATGACAAACATGTGGCTCTGCCTCAGCCACTCCCCAGCATCATCATATGGCACTCATGTGACAAATACACAGGTCTACCTTGGTGTGCCACCCCACAGCATCACCACATGACAGGTACACGGCTCTGCCTCAGCCACCCATGGCTTCAGCACATGGTGCTCACGTGACAAATACACAGCTTTCCTCTGTGTGTCATTCCACAGCATGGCCACATGGCACTCACACAAAAAAACATGCACACTGCATCGGCATGCCAATGCACAGTAAGTACCACCTCGTCACATGGCTCTCATGTGACAAACACGAGGTTCTGCAGCAGTGCAGCTACCCATAGTTTGCATTCAGCAACACCAGGCTGAGCCTTGTGGTCCATTTTCAAAGGAGCACGACCTATCTCTCCCTCTGCTTGATCTTCTGACGGTTTCCAAAAGGGTTAACAGGTGCCTCTCACCACACTCCTTAACCTCCAGGTGCCCCAATGTGCTCAGAGGACCTACCTCTAACGGTGCTAACGGTGGCCACGGTGTGCACACACCACAAACCTGTGTCCCTAATGGGGCTCCCCAGGCTCTGACGCAAAGTGGCCAGTTGTGCAGCCTCCTCTCCTAGCAGCCAGTGGCGTGGGAAGCCGCCTGCACCTTTAGAGAAGGTGTCTGAGTGTGAATCTAAACAGGAGGCTGGAAACTGAGGAAACCGTCTATCCACAGGGCAAAGCCCATGTAGCCCAGGAATGTAGCCCCGCCCCACTGGACACAATGAAGACGTGAACTGGCCTCTTGTGCCAAGAGGTGGACTTAGGTTTTGAAAAGTTCAAGGCTTATACAACTCACAGAGACCCCGTGGGTGTCAGAGTAGAACTGTGCCCCACCAGGTTTTCCCAAGCGGATTTATCATAGATTTGTCAGGCCGCGCTTTCTTCCAAGCACCTCTGGCTGGACTCGAATGGCCAACCTTTTGATTTGAAGCCGGCGATTAACTGTGTGCTACCCAGTAACTTACACAGTTCTGCTTTCATAGAAAAATGTAGAAAACTATCAATACAAATCTGCTTGGCCCTCTTCCTGGTGTGGCACTGTAAAATAAGCACTTGACCTCAAGGTCAGTTTGAATTGCAAGGTCGGCAGTTCAAACTTGCCAGCTGCTCCTCAGACACCTTTTACAAGGTCGTTATTTGTCGGAACCGACTTGACGGCACATAACAACAAGGTCCCCTTCCAGGGAGCGCAGTGGCTCCATAAGGTAAACACTGGACTATGAACCATAAGGTTGGTGGTTTGAGCCCACCAGAGAGAAAGGTGAGGCTTTCTGCTCCCACAAAAGATTTAAAGCCTCAGAAACCCTACACAGGGTCGCTATGAGTCGAAACCAACTCCACGTCACTTAACCACAACAAAATCCTTTCAGGGTCCTGGAATGGGTCATGCAAAAGCCCTTCAATGTCCACTTCCTTAAGTGCCCTCATCCCCTCTACCTCCCTACCAGCAGAAACGCCCCTGTGCTGGGTGAGGAAAGTCAGGTGAGCAGCATCACAAAAAGCAGGCAGGACCTGGAAAAGATAATGCAATTCACTCCCTCCCAGAAACGCCTTGTTTAAGTCCAGGTGCTCCTTTCTCCTTAAAGTTATCTCTCATTGCCAGCAGCCATTCAGAATTGCAGGGCACCTGGGAGTCATTGGGGGCCACAAAGGATTTAAGCTGAGCTAGTGGAGCTCTGGTAGCGCAGTGGTTACAAATTGGGCTGCTAACCGTAAGGTCAGCAGTTCAAAACTACCAGCAGTTCGGCAGGAGAAAGATGAGGCTTTCTGCACCTGTAAAGATTTACAGCCTCGGAAACCCTGTGCAGGGTCACTATGAGTCGGAACCAACTCCATGGCACTTAACAACCAGGAGTCCTGGTGTGGCGCTGTGGGCTAATGCGTCAGACTGCAAAGTCATTTGAACTGCAAGATCGGTGGTTCAAGCTCACCAGCTGTTCCTTGGAAATGCTACACAGGGTCGCTATGGGTCGGAATTGACTCGACAGCACTTAACAACAAGTGGAGCTCCTCTGGCAGTGTAGTGGTTACGATTTGGCTGCTAACCTCAGGGTCAGAAGTTTGAAACTACCAGCTGTTCTGCGGGTCAAAGATGAGGCTTTCCGAAAGATACAGATTTCTGCTCCCATATTTACAGCCTTGGAAACCCTGTGCAGGGTCACTATGAGCCGGAACCATTCCACAGCACATAACAACAAAAGTGGAGGTCTGGTACGGTGCACAGAATAAGCATACCACAAGGTTGGCGGTTCAAACCCACCAGCCTCTCCTTGGAAACCCTATACAGGGTCGTTATGAGTCAGAATTGATTCAATGGCACTTTAACAACAGTAACCCAAAGATTGACGGTTCAAATCCACTGAGCAGCACGGAGTTTGAAAGTCCTGATGACCTGCTTCCATAAAGACTACTGCCAAGAAAACCCTAGGGAGCAGTTCTATTCTGGCACATGGGATGACCAAGGGTTGGAATGGACTTGAAGGAAATGAAGGGGGGGTTTTGTTTGTCTCCGATTTTTAATGGTGTCTCCTATTTGTCACAATCTCCAGGACTCG